GACCCGCCCGGTGCCCCGGATTTACCGAAATGAGCGTGAAACAGAGCCAGTAGGGGGGCTGAGCACGGGCTAGCCCTGGGGCTCTGTCCGTGCCCAGCTAGGATCTGTTCTCCCGAGGGCGGAGGGGTGAACTGCGCCCTGCCTGGGTGGAAGGCATGGGTCCGGGCCCAGATGGGACTTAGGTCAGCGGTGAGGAGCTGAGGCTGTCGAGGTCAATGAGAACGGGCAGTGGAAAGACATCTGGCCATGGTTTCCAGGATTTGACAGTAGGACATCCACCCCTGGAAGACTGGAGAGCAGGCTCTGCTACCCTGATTGACCCAGAGCCGGCCGCCTTACGGGGACTGCGTCAAGATCTCCCAGATGGATACGTGCAGAATTTTATTAGAGACAAAACTGAACAGTAGTCTGTGTACGTTCCGACCAGAGGAACTTCTTGAGTTAATATTAACTTAGGGACTCCCTTGGGCAAAGTACTGGTAGTGGCCAAAGGCCCTTGCGTCTGACCATCTTCCGAGAACCAAAGCTGCTGTAAAGACAATTCCTCTGCACTCTGCCCGCTGCCACGTTCTCGGGTCCTACTCTTGAGGAGGTCCGTTGTGAAGCCCGAAGGATGGGAATGGTTTCCTCTTGGCTGTTGTAACGATAAATCCATTCGCTGCTGGTACAACTGCCTGATCTTAAGGATAAATCAAATATTTCGTGGTAAAATAGGCTAAAGCTGTTGTTACTGGCCTTTAGAAAGTATTTTGATCATCACATGAAGGCTTTGAAAGTCAACAACAACAACAACACAAAAAACTCCATCCTTAGCCATGTTGACTTGTGACATTATGTGGTCACTGTTAGGGTAGGTGACATAACAAACTGGAAGAACCACTGTGTGTTCCCAAAGGTGTGATTATCTAGTAAATATGTCTTTGGGCCATACTAAAAGCAGAACAGTATGATCCTTAGCTTAAATCCAGTAAGCACATGAGGTTTGCATGCACCTGACGGACGGGTTAAGGCACACAGTAAAAATTCGGACATTTTTAGAGAATCTTGTGTTTTATGTCTACTATAATCCATGTACCTGCTTTAGATCATTTTAATTTTAGGTTATGCTTGGTAACTAATATTGAGCTACTAACTTTAATTTTCACTACTAAATACACATCAGGTTCTAGCAAAGAACCAAGCTATGAAGAAATGGCAGTAGAATACGTTCTGTTTTCACTATAATTATAGGCTATATTATTTGATATGGCAGTAAAATCAGTGGCAGAATGTTATTTAAATTAGTATGTCTCAGAATCTGTAAGTTGGATTTTCCTTTTCATGATCTGACAGCAGGATTCTGTTTTAGCAATTAAAAATAGAAACACAAGCCCAGTGTTGTAGCACAAACCTGCACAATTCCAGCCCTTGAGAGGCTAAGGCAGGGAGTTTACCATAAATCCAAACCCAGCATGGACTGCAGAGGGCCTATCTCAATAATAAACAAATATATTAGGTATTTTTTTAAATAAATGTAAGTTAAAATGTAAGCTCCTTAAAGTCAGAGACTTTGTATTCCTAGCATCTCTACCTGACATCTTAGAGCTCAGTAAAACATTGTTAAGTCATCTTTCTATTCTGAAAAACAGCAGTCAAATCACAGGGAGTTTTGCCAACTAATTCTGATTTTATGAATTCATTAGCCTTCCTTTAGGACCTTGGAAATTAAAGATGGAAAAACTATGTACTTGTCCTTTTTAGTTAATACCTGTAACTGTCAAAGATACAAACTTAGTGAGACTACAAAAGTATGAAGGGCTGAGGGGATAGTGGTAGAACACTTGGCCCAGCAGGCTCAAAGCCCAAGGCTCCGTCTCCAGTACCACAAAAATAAGTAAATAAATACCATAAAAATAAATAGAACAAAATAAAGTGTCAGGTGGATCAGAGGATCCCAGAATCCTCTCTTGGGATTAAAGGAGGGCACCACCACCGCCTGTCTGTGACACCCCATCTTAAAAACAAAATTTACAAAAACCAACAGACCAAATGAGACGACGAGTTCATTAGGTCATAGGGTAGCTACTTTCTCTAAATGAAGTAGTGACTGAGCTACTCTGCCTTCTTCTGACTGCTCCAACAGATAAACTGTGGGGTAATGGTACTGTGACACAGCAGAAAAATCAATCAACTTTCCTAGTCAGGCTTAATTTACATAGTATAATCTTACTGGTTAAATTTCAAAAGTCCTACTTTTAATTGAAAATATAATGTGATGTGATTGTAGTCAGCAAATACAAAGTCATCTTAACACAGAATTAGCCATCAAGAAGTTGAAATAAACAAAACAACTTACAACTAGTATATTTACATTTAAAAAAAAAATACAGAGCTAAGTGTGTGGCTCAGTACAATGCTCACCTAGTGAATTTGAAGTTCTGGTTCAATCCCCACAAAAAAGAGTCTGCAATCTGAAAACAACTAGTTTAAACAGCAAACCTATACCAGGAGGCTCCACTTGTTCTAAACTATACAAATAATTTACATTGCTAGTAAATACCAAATTAAATACCCTGGCTAGCAGCCATTTCTGATTTGTCCTTGAAACCAGAAAAGCAAAATTTCATTGATTCTCATCCCCTAAAACCACACATACAGGTCTAGCCTGGCCTCAAACTTATATGGAGCTGAGACTGGCCTTTAACTCTTGATTCTCCCACCTCCATCTTCCAAGTCCTAGGATGACATGTTTGTTGTCACCACAGCTGACCAGTATTACACTTGCCTTAAAATATATATATTAGCCAAGCATGGTGGCACCCACCATTAATTCCAGCACTTTGGAAGCAGATGGATCTCCATGAGTTTTGAGTCCAGAATAGCCTGCATAGTTCAGACATAGACTATCTCAAATTAAACAAACACACACACTGACCATCAGAACTGGAAACTAAAGACCTTGTGATTTTTAATCTTTAGATTTAACAGCTGATTCAAAGATCTGCTTAAAAACTGTAAATAATTCCACTTCTCAGCAGACTGTTAAATTTTAATGTAACCGTATTTTTATTAGACTATGTGCTTGAAGATTTCACTTCTCAGTGATGTTCTTGATTCTCTTTCCCATAGCTGAAGCTGCCTTATCTGGTCCCTTCCTGTTTCTCCAGTTTACAGCCCACACTCCTTGTTCCCTCACAACTTACAAATTTTGCTGACAGATTCATCATACATTGAATACCCTCAGCTGTCTACCCTTCTATCCCCAGATACTTGTATCACACATTAGCATTGCCTCAAAAAGATCCGTCTATGGGGAAAACTTGTTTCCTTTCTGGATTGGTTCTTGGTTTTACACTTAATCCATAGTGTTTTCTTTTTCCTATGACTCAATATTTATATTAGTTTAATGTATCTCCTTTCACTAAACTGAAAGCTCCAAGATATTAGAAATTTGTTTTTATCTTTTGAGACAGGATCTATGTAACCCAGGCTAGCCTTGAGCTCTAGTTCCTGCCACAGCCTCCTGAGTGCTATGATCACAGGATCCACACCTTAGTTGTGCTTTATTACTGTGTACTAAACACAGAGTAGGCTACAATGAATGAGGATGCACACTCACAATCCTAGCACTTGAGAAACTGAGGCCGGATGATCATAAATTCCAGACCAGTTTGAGCTACAGGCAGAGTTCAAAGCTAGTGTGGACTACACAGTAATATCCTGTATCAAAATGTCTTTGAGGAAAAAAAAATAAAATGTGTCAGGTACCTGAAAATAACTTTTAAGTATTATATATATATCATCCAATTCAATCATTATTTATTGAATTTACCTTTTTTCTGGCTTCAAATGTATCTGATTTTGAACACTTGCTTTTTAGTATTAGACTTTATTAAAAGATAAAAGTTAAGTACAAAAGAGGTATTGAAGGAGCAGGAGAAATGGCTCAAATGCTTAAGAGCACTTAATTACTCCTGTAGAGGATCCAGGTTCTATTCCCAGTGCCCACATGGTCGTTTACAACCATCCATGACTTGTTTCCAGGTACTAATCCTTTCAGGCACTAAGTATGCCTGTGCTACACATACACACATGCAGGGAAAACACATAAATAAGAAGGAATAAACCTAATAAAAAGAAAACTTAAAAAAGATGTATTGAAAATCTCCAGCCCAAAGGTATCTAACCCCCTCTTCTGATCTCTATGGGCATTGTACACCTATGAAATACACACATGCAGGCAAAATACACACACATAAAAAAATTTTAAATGACAATTCATAAATATCTTAATGTAAACATCATGTAATACAAACATTATAATCATACAATTATATATTCATATAGACAACCACAAATACAATGGCATAATGACATATAGAAAGTAAAAAAATCCCACCATCCATCTTCCAGTGTCAAAACTACCAACAAGTTGGGTGTGGTGACTCATGCCTGAAACCCCAGTGCTGAGGCTGAGGTACAAATATCACAGTGAGTTCCAGACAAAATGAAATCCTGTGAACAAGTTCTTTAAAATACTGGCATTTTATAAGTTCCAATAAGTCACAATAATTTGACTTTTTTTTTTTTTTTGCCTCCTGAGGGGGTCTCTACACAACCCTGGCTGTCCTGAAACTCAATAGGCATATCAGTCTGGTCTTGAACTGAGAGACCCACAGAGACCTGCCTGCCTCTGCCTCCCATGCTCTGAGTCTAAAGCCTTGTGAGACTTGTGTTTTACATAATGTCAAAATGTATTACACATCCAGATACAGTGGCAAGAGTCTTCCAGAAAAAAAAAAGTAAAGTTTAATTTCTGTCTTAGAGGGTTGAAACTCCATAATTAAATATGATTAAGATAGATTGCTAAGAGCACATTTCCTTCACCCTTACTCTCCTCCACTAAAATAATGCTGCTCAAATATATATAGCCTCCTCACTCATCACCAAAGCTTTATGGTTTTACCTTGTAAGTCAAGTACATATATAACTAAACAATTGGTAAACATATAAGTACACAGTACAACTAAGGTCCATGAGGCACCACTGTGTAATGTATCTACAGTCAGGTTAATCAGACCAGTTGTTATATTTGACAGTAAGAAAAAAAACAGCTGGTTTCTGTTCAGGGCTGTGATTAAACAAAGACTGGGATCTTCTTTTTCAGTTTCCAAGATTAGAGATTCGGAATGTTTTTTGTTTGTAGCAGGCAACTGTATAAGTTTCCAAGAACATGGTACTAGAGCCCCTTTAATTAGAAATTTGGCAAAACTCAAAATTATATCACTCAGTAACAGACAGCTAAGAAGCATCAGGCTAGAAGCAACCACCCACATACAAAAGGCTAAATTGGCCATTCTTCGAGATACGGCTTCTATATTTACTTGAACTATATGAAGAGAAATGAAGAAGCTGACAGCCACTAAGAGAATACAACAAGTAACTTTTATCCAGTCTCTGATATGTGTTCTGACCTTAAGCACATACAACCCTGTTTGCACACCAGCCATGTGTATTGTCACGTACCCCAAAGTGGAAATTATTCCTTCTCGGTTGGCATTTAATAAACCAACCCTTGTGCCACTACCATCAGTGCCGTACAAAATTACCCCCTTGAGTGGAGTAAAGTCAAGAGCTAGTTGGTATAACACAGTAATGCTGACAGCCACAACCCAAGACTTATTTAAAGGAAAAATAGTCAAAAGAAGGGATGTTACTAATTTCACAACTATGATGGTGAAGAAAAAGTTCCAGTGAACTCCATACTCAGTTAAATGTTCCTGATAGCCTATGGATTTTATAACGACTAACCGTCCCATTCCTAAGAAGACTAGAGGCCAAACAGAATACAGTGATTTTCTAAGATAATTAAATCTGGACCCTACTATACATTTCCTTCTAACCTCTGGACAAACCATTGCAGCCCCAAAAATAAAGCCACCTACTCCATAATCCATGGCCCCTGTCCCATAAAGCTCAGTTTTGGCAAATCTTCTAGGGAAAAGTGGGAAGTCCACAGCCAAAATGGCAATAGCAGTAAATATACTGTTAATGACCCGGTAACCGGTGATGGCTGGATTGTACTCTGATTCTAGGCTGATTTTCAAGAAGTTTGCAAAGACTTTCTGGGCAGGCACTTTGGCATAGCAAGTCCTCCTCTGGTATATCTGATACAACAGCCATGCCACACAGACAGTTACCATGAGATTCTCAAGGAGGATAAACGAAGACAATATAGTCAAAGTGATCACCAGGGGGACTATGAGGACAACAAAGTCCATTAGGAACCATGTGCTCCAGTTGTGTGAGAAAGAACACAAGTGCTGTGAGAAAATGATCAAAAGGCCTCTGCACAGGATACAGAATGCAGGAAAGCACAAGCCCTGGGTTATTTCCAGCACGCTGGTTCCATTGAGGTTACTGACAAAAGCTTCCTTCATCTGCTTTTGAGACATTTTTTTTTTCTTCCTGTGAAAACAAGACAAAAGAAGGGATTTGAGGGAAACAATATTACTGCAAAGTCAATAAATATCTACATACCAGCCAGGCATTGGTGGCTCATGCCTTTAATCTCAGCACTCAGGAGGCAGAGGCAAGCAGATCTCTGTGAGTTCAAGGCCAGCCTGATCTATAGTGCGAGTTCCAGGACAGGCTCCAAAGTAATACAGAGAAACCCTGTCTGGAAAAAAAAAAAAAAAAAAAAAAAAAAACCCTACATACTTCACTTGAATTTATGTATTTCTCAGTTTCAGAACAGAAGTTTAGGGGCTAGAGGGATGGTTCAGCAGTTAAAAACACTGTTGCTCTTCCAGAGGATCCAGGTTCAATTCCCACCACCCACATGGCAGCTCACAACTGTCTGTAACTCCAGTTTTAGGGGATCCAATACCCTCACACAAGCATACATGTAGACAGAACAGAAGTTTAGGCCCACCAAGCAATGGTGGTGCACGCCTTTATTCCCAGCACTCAGGAGGCAAAGTTAGGTAGTTCTCTGCGAGTTCAAGGCCTGCCTGGTCTACAGAGAGTTCCAAGATAGCCAGAGCTACACAGGGAAACCCTGTCTCAACCACCGCGCCCCCCCAAAAGTAGTCATTTAAGCCCTAGTGATTTCAATTCGGGGCAGAATTTCTGACTCTGCTACATCCTAAGATTATAAGGAAAAGTCAACACTGACACATTAAGAGTATGAAATTTCTAGTACAAAGTTGTAACTTCATTATAAGGCAAACTCAAAATGAAAGTAAATTTGGAAGCTGGGTGTGGTAAAGCATACATACAATCCCATCACTTAAGATGACTCAAGGGGGCTAGAGAGATGGCTCAGAGGTTAAGAACACTGCTCTTCCAAAGGTCCTGAGTTCAATTCCCAGCAATCACATGGTGGCTCACAACCATCTATAATGTGATCTGGTGCCCTCTTCTGGTGTAGGTGTACAAGAAGACAGAACACTGAATACATACATAAATAAGTTTAAAAAGACTCAAGATCGTCCTTGCTAACAGTAAGAGTTCCCAGCCAACCTGGCTACCTTTTATTTATTTATTTATTTTTTGAGACAGAGGCTCACTGTGTAGCCTGGAACTCAGTATGTAGATTAGACTGACCTTGAACTCAAGCGATCCTCCCCCCACTATCAAATACTTAAAGGCATTGCTACCATTTCCAGCCAGACCTGATCTTTTAGACGGTAAATTTAGGATATGAAACCAAAAAGGGATCACCAGTCAGGAATTTCTATTGCAAGCATAATTCATTCTCTCTCTCTCTCTCTCTCTCTCTCTCTCTCTCTCTCTCCTCCCCTCTCTCTCTCTCTGTGTGTGTACACTTAAATACATATATAACTATACATATAGGTAGTTATATATCATTATGTATACTGATATGTTATGAAAACCTTCAAGAAAGCTGCATATGCATTTCTAAGAACTTTAAAATAAAACTTCAGGAAGAGAAATTGTAAGTGTATTTTAGAGTCAGGGTACTTGGTTTCTGTTCAGAGCCCTCAGAACCTACTACAACACGGGGCACATACAGATGAATGCATGAGTCAGGTTGTTCTTTTCCTCATACACACAGGCCATATTTTCAGATCAAGGAGCAGGAGCAGGCGGATAAATGTACGTACCAGAGCTAGTGGCTTTTTTTTTTCTTTTATGCACCCTAAAACAACCTCTGCCACATACTAATGCCTGAAAAGTCGCACGCTGAGAGAACACACCCGTGGGCCAGATGTGAAACATAAGAGTATAATGCCCCTGAAGGTAGTACACATTATTGTCCCTTATGGTCCATTTGGGCCCTGCATCAGCATCATCTCACCACAAGTGGCTCTGCTCTTTTGTCCTTCAAGTCCTTTTCCTGAGAGACCTCACCACAACCACGCCCTGCCCCCGACCGGTCTTCAGCGTTCACACAACAGGCTCCCACCGCACCTGCCGGCGGCTCCCTCCGCTTCCGGCTCGCGAGCAACGCTTCCGGCCGGCGGGCGCAACCTGTTCTTCCGGGCCCGCAGATTCCGCTCGCCCCCGCCAGGGATGGCGACCGTCCCCGCCCTGCCGGCTCCCCACGCCCTTCAGTGTGTTGGGGTGGGTTCATCCCGATCGTCTCGAGACAGCCGTGCGGCGGTCCGAGGGAGGGACGCCTCACCTCGGACCCTCCGAGGAGCCCGCGTCAGGCTCGGCCACGGCGACCTGAAGTAAACCAGTCCCCGGGCCCCCGGGAGCCGCGCTTGCCCACCGCGGACTCGGGAGGCCACAGGAACACCACACCTTACCCCAGAGTCGCAAAACACCTCACCTCAAGCGTAGCCAGCCCGCCAGAGCCTGTGGCCCGGGACGGAGCACGTGCGTCCAGCGCCGCGAGTGCGCGCCCCGCCCCGGAGGAGGAGCCGGCGGACTCCCGGCCACTTAGCCGGAGCTGCTGCGGGCAGCGGGCGACCCGGCGTTCCCGGCTTTCTTCCCAGCTGCTCCCGCTCACTCTGCTCCCTTCCTTTCCCGGACTCTTCCGGCCGCCTCACCCTGCCCACCGGCCCGGGTCGGGACTACACGCTGGGTGCCCAGGCCGTGGGACCGGTGAGTGCCACTCCCCGCCTAGATCCGAAGCCCTTCACGGCCCGAGGAGTTAGAGAGGCCAGTGTCCTGCTCAGAGCTAAAGTAGAAGCAGGCACCTCACCTTCTAATTGAACATTTCTCTCTCTACCCTCTTGTGACCCAGGAGGAGGTAACACAGCTTTTGCCCAGGACAAGGACCTTCACGGTCACTTTCCAGCCCTCCAGCAGGGGGCCACAAAGGGGTGTTTCTGGCCCATCGGGGCTGGACGTCTGTCCCTTTCCTTGTCCTACCCAGGGACGGAGAGAGAGGCATAAGGAAACTGCGCCCTTGACTAGGGTCACATCCACCTTCCCGGGAAGGACGTATTCTCTCAGTACCAGGTGCTTCCGGAGTGGCATCTCAGCCCTGGGCACTGCGAGCGCGTTGCCAGTGCTAGAAGTGCTGGTTCCCGCCAGGAATCTGGAGCAAACATGGCTGGATCCCCAAGACCCTTACACAGCTATTTCCCCTCATAGCCCTCCGGCTGTCCTTCCTGCCAAAAAAGAAACCGAAGCAGGGGCTGAGGAAGAGGGGGTTGTGATCTGGTTGGTTTGACTTGGTCTTTTACCTATTCATTACTCCCTTCTGTCTACTGTGGTCACACCCTTTCCAGAAATTCTTAGTGGTAACCGCGAGAGGAGGGAACAGAAGCCAGGCAAACTGGAGAAAACTGCTCTGATCTGACTTGGCTTCAACCAGGAGCTGACGCTGCATAGTAATAACCAGCTTTTACTAAGCTCTCTCACAGGTACTTGTCCATACGAGCCTTAATTTTGCACTTTGTGGTGTGGTATTATACCATTGACAATTGTGTGAAAATGAGGCTCCATCGATGTGTTCTAGGAGGGCTGTGAGCTTTGGATTCTAGCTTAGCACTGTTGTGGTCTCCTGGTTGGCCTTCTTCTCAAAATGAACATGTAGCCAAGTCTCCAGAAACCCTCAGATGATGGGGTACAGTGTACAGAATGATACCCTTTTCTGCTTGAATTTTCCTCTCCCTGTTTCCATGCAAGTCTCTGGGTCCTGATTCTTTTTTTTTTTTTTTGGTCCTCATTCTTTAAGGGACTAGGTGTGTTCAGAGCCTCAAAAGGTCTGTATCAGAATTAATCCATCAACCCATTATAGATGTCCCTCATTGCTAGGCAGGGATTGAGGCCTGGGAAATTCCAAATCTGAGTGAGGCTCACATTTTTCAGACCCTGCCCTCACACCACCCCTCGTCTCAGATGGATTCCTGTCCCCTGGTCTCACCTTGTTTGTTTGAGACAAGGTCTTACAGTGTAGTCCAGACAGGCTTCAAACTGAGATCCTCCTGCCTCAGCCTCCTGAGTGTTGAGATTACCAGCACATGATACCAATCTCAGTCTCGCCTTTTGTGCAGTGAGCCTTTCCCCACCTGATTAGTGTCCTCAAATGAGTTATCACTCCATAGGTAACGCTAATATTCATGCTCAGTACATTCAGTACTGTGCCTTCAAACGTTGACCCCATTGACCTTCATAGCTTCTGGAAGTCAGGTACATTTAACTAACCCTATTCTCCAGGATTTGGGGTGATAGCTTTCCCTGGGGTCACATATCCATCTAGTGACTGATTCCCTTCTTATACAACAGCTTCCCAAGAACAGCAGGAATTGACTCCAGGCCCATTCTCCATCAGCTGCTGGCTACACTTACATAAGGTGTTTCTGTCTAGTGGTGACCATAGGGCCAAGCTCTACCCAGTGTCTTCATTCTCTATGGTACACTGACCCAGAAGATTTTGCAACCCTGGCCCATCACTTACTTACCTTGAAACGGCCCTTGGCCATTTTTTGTAAGAGAAATGTCAGAAAGCATCCCAGGTAATCTCTGGAGGCTCTCATCAAAGCTTCCTTACTTCCTAATTGGCAAGGGAAAGTACAGACTCTCACTCTCTGCCCAGGCCTGCCTGGTTGTCGTTTGGGTTCCTCCTGCTTGGTGGGAGGAGTAGGAATGAGTCACCCCAGAGAAGCCCTCACCTGTGTGGCCCTTGTCTTCTGTCTCACACTACAGGTTCTGATATTCCGACACACCTGGGTCTTCTGCTGGAGCGATGACCTCATGACCAGGTTGATAGACAGTGCTGCTTGTGTCTGTGACACAGAGCTTTGGCTGCTCATACTGAAGCACGATGCTCCAGCAGGTAAACCCTCAAACCAAGCACCAGAGACACTTTCTTGTTTATATGTCTGAATGATGACCACAGTACTTGTAGCTGGAAGGATGGGAAAGACCCTTTCTTCAGATAGTCATTCCAGTGTTCTTTCTGATACCTAGCTTGTGGTTTTGTGGCTCTTTTCTTTGGAGTGGATAAGATGAGATAGGCAGAGGAATCCAGGTTATTTTGAAGTCCCTGCCAGCTGTTTTATTGAGTCACAGTGGAAGCTTGGGCTTCCAAGAATATTTATTGAAGCTTAGCCTTTAAAAATGATAAATTAGCTGGGCATGGTGGCACATGCCTTTATCCCCAGCATTTGGGAAACAAAGGCTGGCAAATCTCTATGAGTTCTAGGACAACTGGGGCCATAGGGAGAGATAAACCCTGTCTCAAAAAAAAAAAAAAAAAAAAAAATTGACCAAGTGGAGAAGGAACATAAGCAGTCTAGACAAAAGAGGTCTGCCTTGTGAGAGTCCAGTATTCTGCCTCTGAATAGGTTAGTATCCCTGGCCTGCAAGGTGGGACCACCCTTCACTGTGGAGCTCTATCTCATACACGTAGCATCCTTTGTAAGTAGCTCAGATCCAGAGAGCACAATGGTATGTATTGGCTGGAATTTGATTTTCCTAAATTTTGTCCCACACTAAGGGCTTGAGGAGTTTGTTCTCTGGTGAACTCCAGAAGGATAACTAAGGTAGGACTTACCAGACTCAAGAAAGCCATGACAGATGCTACTGGATCATCTGACTGTTTTCCAAGAGATGGACTTGAAGGCTATAGAAAAGTGGGCAGGACAGTTATCTGCTCTGAATTGTTGTATTTTCTTTCTTTCCCTCCTTTTTCTTTTTCCAAAAGCAATCATTTTTACTAGAGCCATACTAGTGACTGCCCTATGCTCAGTCCTTGTTATATAGTAGTGACTGTCCTGTGCTCAGCCCTTGTCATATACTAGTGACTGCCCTATGCTCAGCCCTTGTTATATAGTAGTGACTGCCCTGTGCTCAGCCCTTGTCATATACTAGTGACTGCCCTGTGCTCAGCCCTTGTCATATACTAGTGACTGCCCTGTGCTCAGCCCTTGTTATACAATAGGCACTACTTTTGAGTATTTTGTTTCATCTTCACACTGCAGTGACAAAATGGTAGTATGTACTATACAGTGCTGTTGTGTCCCCATTCTGGAGCTAAGGCTCAGACAAGTTAAATGCCTCACTCAAGGTCACATTCATTATCAGGAATTTGGAGAAATAAGAAAAGCAATCAAAAAGGACATTAAGGTTGTCTAGGCATACTATCCAAACACAACATTTTAAAAAACATTTAGACTTTTTTGCCCTGATTTTTATTTTTCTATTCTTTTCTCTTTTATGGTTTTTCTGGACAAGGTTTCTCTTTGTAGCCCTGGCTGTCCTGAAACTAGCTTTGTAGACAAGAGATTCACCTGGCTCTGCCTCTGAGAGCTGGGATTAAAGTCATGCTCCACCACTGCTCAGAATAATCTAGCTTTTTAACTCAAGCTCTTGATCACTATATTCAACTCCCGGTTGAATCAAAACTGTTCCTAAATTGCAGCTGGTTTTGTATTCCCTTCCTCTTTTCTTTTCTTCTCCTCCTCCCTTCCCCGTCTCTTTCCTTCCTTTCTTTCCCTCTGTCCTTGTCCTTCCATAGATTCAGCTGTAGGCTGTAGCAGTTGCCCTTAGCAACAAGTGCCTGTTCTGAACATTATGATGGGCCTGAGACTCACAATCTTTAAGAAAAACACATTACAGTGCTGCTTCCTTGGCTTGTTTCTCAGGGACGTAAGCATTGAGGGCTCACCAGTCTCTTTAGAAACACAAGCTATACCAAGACTTCAGCCTCCTGATTCCAGCCAGGTGCCTGTCTTCTCTCCCCACTCCATCCTGTACTTTCCGGACAGCAGCTCTGTAAGGCTGTTCGGCTGTAGCCTAAAAGCTGCCTTAGCTGGAGCTCACAGCAGAGGAGACAGGAGGGCATTGATTATTAATACATACTGTCAAGGCCTTGACTAAGTGCTCTGTGTGTTTCTTTGGGTTTATCCCCCCACCCCAAAGAAACCATGGCTCATAGAGGTGATTTGCCCAGGCTGTCACACTAATAAGTAGCAGAGCTGAAACATGAGCCACCTGGATCTTGTGGAAACCTGTTCTTTCTCATATGCAGGCTCCACCCTCATTAGCTGCCAACAGGTCTGAGATTCGGGTCTCATGGCTCTTGTGTTGATCCCCTCCAGGTGAATGGCCACAGTTCAGGCACTGATGCCGAAGGCAAGGCATCCCTCAAGGGAGACCTACAGCAGTTCCTGGATGGGGAGGCCCCACTCCACCAGCTGGATGACCTCACCAAGGTGAATCCTGTGACACTGGAAACAGGTATGGGCTTTCCTCTCCTCCAGACTGCTGTTCCAAAAGAATAGAGATGTAGCAAGGGTCTTCAGCACTGTTTCCCCAGTTCAGACCAAGCAGTGAGACTCCTGACCTGGCCTCTGCCCCAGGGAACTTGGCACTGCACCTGGGCTCCCCAGGGCAGGCTTTGCTCTAGGTTTGGGACTCTTCTTAATTAGATCTTATATCTATTCATCAGGGAGCTACAGGGTTCTAATGGCACTTAGCTAATTACAGAGGGAAGGCTGCTTAGCAGATGTGTGTCTGAGGTTCTGTCTGCATTTGAGCCAGACTTTGCTAACAGCATCTTTGCCTCAGTCCTGAGGTGCTTGCAGGCCCGGTACACAGAAGACATATTCTATACCAATGCTGGCTGTACCCTGGTAGCTCTGAACCCCTTCAAGCCCATCCCTCAACTCTATGCACCAGAGCTGATGCAAGAGTACCATGCTGCGCCTCAGCCTCAGGTAAGGATCTCTGGCTTCTGCCTCAGCCTCCCTGTGGCTTCACCATCCTTCTTCATTTATCCCCCCGTGATACAATCATTCAAAGCCTGCTGGTGCCATGTCCCTGCCTAACAGGAGCTCTCAGAATTTGGACACATAACTAAGGTACAATATGGATGATAAATATGTAACTGAGCCGGGTGGTGGTGGCACAGGCCTTTAATCCCAGCACTCAGGAGGCAGGTAGATCTCTGGAAGTTTGAGACCAGCCTGGTCTACAAGAGCTAGTTCCAGGGCTGGAGAGATGGCTCAGAGGTTAAGAGCACTGACTGCTCTTCCAGAAGTCCTGAGTTCAATTCCCAGCAACCACATGGTGGCTCACAACCATCCGTTATGAGACCTGGTGCCCTCTTCTGGTGTGCAGATGTACATGGAAGCAGAATGTTGTATACATAATAAATAAAATCTTTAAAAAAAAAAAAAAGAGTTTGAAAAAAAAGAGCTAGTTCCAGGATAGGCTTCAAAGCTACACAGAGAAACCCTGTCTCAAAGGGGGAAAAAAAAATTAACTGAGATTGAAACCTAAGACATAAAAACATAGAACAAATGTTGTATTATTGTTGTTTGTAATTATGAGAAAGGATTTACAGATATAGTTGTATCTGTATCTTTTTAAAAAATAATAAACATGGGTGCAGTAGGGATTGTCCTAGAGCAGTCAGCACATGTTCTTCTGTCCTGAAAATAAATTGCACTACAAAGACGATGATAAATTGTTTGAGGGATGTAAGGGGAGTAATGCAGGCTGGAAACATGTGTTGAGGGAGAGGCAAGAACAAGCTGTCTAACAGGAGAAAGCCTGGGTCTAGAGGTGGTGGGTAAGGGGCTGAAGATGAGCACATCTGGGCAGAAGTCCCACGGGGGGCAGGCAGATTTACTCCATATGGAAGTAGGCCTTTGAACAGAGTCTGCAAGAGGAAGGATGAATGTGAAAGAAACAGAGAGAATGTTTGAGGCTTTTCAACAGTGCAGTTACTCGGTAGCTGCAGCAAGGACTGGTAGAGAAAGACAGACAGCTCTCAGGAGCTATAAGTGATCATTTCTGGCTAGGCTAGTGAGGCATGGTGTAGATGGCATTGCCCTAAAGTTTATATAATGAAAAGTATCAAGTGGAGTCCAAAGAAGTCAATCCTGAGAGCCCACCTGGCCTGATACACTTATCTGCCTGATAGTCAAAGGCAAAAAAAGTCAGGCCATGGTCCCATCTCTTTCCCACAGTGCCCAACTATTCATCACATATGTCAGCACACTGAAGACAGTGTCTGATAAAAGAAGAGTGACTTTAGAATTAGATCGCTCAGGCGAACTGACTTGTTGAGGGCCTTGGCAGTTTATTATTATTTCCTTTGAACCTCACATAGCTCATTGTTGAGGTTAGCCATCTAACTAACGCGCAGACTTCTTAGGTAGTGTGCTTGCTAGTTCTATGTCAACCTGGCACAAGCAGCTGAAGTCGTCTCATAGGTAGGAACCTCAATTAAGAAAATGCCGCTGGGGCAGGCGGATCTCTGTGAGTTCAAGGCCAGCCTGGTCTACAGATCGAGTCCCAGGACAACCTCCAAAGCAATACAGAGAAACCCTGTCTCGAAAAACCAAAGAAAAAGAGAATGCCTCCATGGGCTGGGGAAATGGCTCAGTGGTTAAGAGCACTGGCTGCTCTTCTAGAGGACCCGGGATCAATTCCCACAACACCCACATGGCAGCTCATAACTGTAACTCCAATTCCAGGGGATCTGATACTCATACAGACACATACAGGTAAAACCACCAATGCACATGAAATAAAATAAAAAGAAAGAGAAGAAGAAAATGCTTCCATAAGATTGTGCTGTTGGAGCCGGACAGTGGTAGCACATGCCTTTAATCCCAGCACTCGGGAGGCAGAGGCAGACAGATCTCTGTGAGTTTGAGACCAGCCTGGTCTACAAGCGCTAGTTCCAGGACAGCCTGCAAAGCCACAGAGAAACCCTGCCTTGAAAAAAAAAAAAAAAAAAACAGAAAAGAAAAAAAAGATTGTGCTGTTGGTAGGCTCAAGAGATGGCTCAGAGGTTAAGGGCACTGCCTGCTCTTCAGAGATCTTGAGTTCAATTCCCACATGGTGGCTCACAACCATCTATAGTGGGATCTGCTATCCTCTGGCATGCAGCTGTACCTGCAGAACAATCATACATAAAATACAAATTTTTAAAAAATTAACAAAATGAAGATTGTGCTGTGGGCAAACCTGTAGAGTACTATAAGGTATTTTCTTAACTAGTGGTTGATTAGGAGGGCTCAGCCCATTGTAGGTAGTGCCACCCCTAGGCTGGTGGTCATGAGTACTATTAAGAAAGCAGTGTGAGCGAGCCGGGCATTGGTGGCGCACGCCTTTAATCTCAGCATTCGGGAGGCAGAGGCAGGCGGATCTCTGTGAGTTCGAGGCCAGCCTGGTCACCAGAGCCAGTGCCAAGATAGGCTCCAAAGCTACACAGAGAAATCCTGTCTCGAAAAACCAAAAAAGAAAAAAAAAAAAAAGCAGTATGAGCGAGCCAGTAAGTAGCACTCCTCCAAGGCCTCTGCATCAGCTTCTTCCTTGGGGTTTTTAAGTTCCTGCTCTGACTGCCTTTGGTGATGAACCATGATATGGAAGTGTGAGCAAAACAAACCCTTTCCTCCCCAGGCTGCTTTTGTTCATGGTGTTTGTCACAGCAATGGAAACCCTAACTAAGACAGTAACTTAAGAAGAAATTTTTCTTCCAGATTATAAAGTACAATAAAATAAGCAGCAGAATCAGACTATTAAAGAAAAATGTAGCGGCAGCTCAGTTGGCCAAGTGCTTACATAGCATGCATCGATCTGAGTTCCAGCCCCAGAACTGCATAAACCAGATGTAGTGGCAGAAGGAACAGAAGTTCAGTATCATCATCCTCAGCTACATAGCAAGTTCTAGACCAACCTGGGCTACAGGAAAGCTGGGGGGGGGGGGGCTGAGGGGGTACAAAGAGAGATAGCAGACTTGAAAGAGGTTACAGAGATAGTTCAGTGGTTAAGTGCACTTTCTGATCTTCCAGAAAACAAGGATCCAATTCCTACCACCAATATGATGGCTCACAGCCATCTTTAACTGCAGTTGCAGGGAATCTGATGTCCTGTTTGGCCTCCAAGCGCACTGTATACGTGGTACACACATACAAGCAAGCAAACACACGCTCTGCTGACCAGGCTGGCCTCGAACTCACAGAGATCCGCCTGCCTCTACTTCCCGAGTGCTGGGATTAATGGCGTGTGCCACCAACGCCCAGCAATAATAATTATTTTTAACTTAAATAAAATCAGATGAGAGCATAAAGTATTAAGGTCATAGAGTGCTAGAAGCTAGCTGTATCCATGCTGAGAGAACCTCAGTGATAAACCAACCGTAGGAGTTTTACAGTAGGGACAGGCTGTGGCATCCAGGCAAGGTTTTTTTGGAGGAAGCATGTTAGCATCACTTCTGGTAGTCTCCCAGTCTAGACTGTTATTGGGTCAGGTGCTCACATGACCATCACTCTTCGATATTTCAGAAACTGAAACCCCACATCTTCACAGTGGGTGAACAGACCTACAGGAATGTCAAGAGCCTGATTAAGCCAATCAACCAATCCATTGTGGTCAGTGGAGAAAGTGGAGCTGGAAAGGTAGGAGTGCCACTTTCTTATCCTGTCCCTGTGAGCAGAAAGACAAGGGCCATTGCCTGTGGCATCATTGGCTGCCTAGTCATTCACAGATAGGCTGCCTGAACCAGGATGTCTGTGTTGCGGTCAACAAGCACCACACCGGAAGTCAGAAGACAGGGCTCCAGTGCAGCCCCCACTGCTGGCTCTGCTGCCACCCTGGGGAGACACTTTTCCCCTTGTACCTTTACTTTCTCACTGAAGGTGCTTCTGGGATCTCTAGAAACAGCAGTCAGATGTTGGGGAACCCAGCATAATGAACATCAGGTAGAATACCTCAGAGAAGCTCCAACTTTGCAGGCCTCAGTCATTTCACTTGTGAAATGGAAGGGAATAGAAGGTCAGCATCTGGGGCTGGAGAGATGGCTCAGAGGTTAAGAGCACTGGCTGTTCTTCCAGAGGTCCTGAGTTCAATTCCCAGTAACCACATGGTGGCTCACAACCATCTGTAATGAGATATGGTGCCCTCTTCTGGCATGCAGGCATATATGGAGGCAGAATGTTGCATATGTAATAAATAAATAAATCTTTAAAAAAAAAAAAAGTCAGCATCTGCATGGGACTTCTGTGTGAGCATAAAGGAGCCTGTGTTGCTTGACATGATGACACACACTTGTAATCCCAGGATTTAGGAGGCGATGTAGGAGGATCACAAGCCAGCCTGGACTACATAGTGAGACTATTATCTATAAATAAATGAAGTAAACATAATATAAAATAGGAACCAGTGCACATAAGGCATTTGGCAGCATGCCTGGCACATGGCAGTGCTCCTCCAAAAGTAGCTGGTTTTACTGTGGGGAAAAAGATTGGAAGAGATCAAACCCTGCTGGGGTTGAAGCTGGAGAAACAGTTGAGCTGTTTAAGAGCACTTGTTGCATTTATAGAGGATCAAGTTCAATTTCCAGCAACCAAGGTTAATAACCACCTGACATGAGTTCCAGGAGATTCAGTGCCCTCTTGTGATCTCTGTGGACACTGCACACATGTGATACAGACATATATTCAGGCAAACATCCATACACCCATAATAATAAATATTTTTTAAAATATTAAAACCCTATTGGGGTTGACAGTAATAGCAAGGGCAGTGTATGAGAAGCTCCAGGTATAGCCAGAGGGCCTTATAGATAGCAGGACCTCAGCAGGTGAGACAAGTGTTGCATAAACAAGGACTCCACCACTAATGAAAGGAAGCCTCACTCAAGCCTCACCCAGCTGCCTCTCCCTTTCCATAGAGTAATATGAGGGATTCATTGGACTATAAACCCCTTTTGCCTACACTCATCTATCAGAGAGTTACTGAATATTAAGTACCTCCCGGGCTTTAGATGCAGGGTGGACATAGACAAATCTTATGGGAAGAAGTACAGGTGAGAAATGCAGTATTAGCTTTGACCTTAGTCTCTGAGCAAACAAAGGAAGACAGTAAGTTGGGTAGAGAGGCCATAGCTCAGCAAAGTGCCTGAAAACTCAGCTCCTGGACAAAGAGAATTGCCCACCAGAATACTCTGGGGACTGGGGCAGAACCTGGCTTAAGACCAACACAAGCAGAGCTCCATAACCTTTCACTGAGTAGCCATTATGACCATTGACTAGGCCTGCTTTTTATTTTTTTAACCTTTAATTAGTTAGTTGCAGGTGGGGCAGCACTTGTACACAGTGCATGTTTAGAGGTCAGAGGGCAACCCTTGAGAGCCAGTTCTCTTCCCCCACGTGGATCCTAGAGGTAGAACTCAGATCATCAGGCTTGGCAGTGAGAACCTTTACCTGTTGAGCAATCTTGTTGCCCTGCCCCCACCCCCGTTTTGTTTATTTTGGCGGGGGAAGTTTGCATTTTTTCTGTATTAGGGATTAAACCCAGAGCCCTGAATGTGCTGTGCAGGCATGCTACCAAGGAACTATAATACATCCCCAGTCCTTATTTAATTTTTAATTTTGAGACAAGGTCTCAGTAAGTTGACCAGAATGGCCTTGAACTCATTTACATAGTTCAGCCCTCTTCTTGCTTCCATGGGCACCAGACATAGCTGCAACCAAAACACATATATACATAATAAAATTAAATATAACTTTAAAAAAGACCTACTTCTCTGCAGACAGGATATAAAATAAATAAATTTATTTAGGGGGGAAAAAAGACCTACTTCCAGGTGTAGTCAGGACTGGGAAGAGGGTCATTTCTCCCCCTCTCCCACATATTAATTGGGTGAAATATTTCAGCCCACAGTAAACCTTAAATAAAAGGGAAAACTAAGTTGCCTGGGTTCAGTCCCAGCACTGGAAACTCAAATTGCTTGCATATTGGGCTGGGGTATGGCTGAGTGGTGGACTGGAATTCACAAGGCCCTGGGTTCAGTTCTTAGCACCACCAAAGTTAAGTAATTAATAAACCCAAGTCAGCAGAAAAAAGTCATAGTGAAAATAGTAAAACAGAAACCAGAATAATAGAAAAAAAATGAGTGACTTCCAAGGATTTTGTTGTTGTTGAGGTGAGGGGATTGAGCTGCAAGGCAAATGTTCTACCACTGACCCACATTCCCAGCAAACACAACTTTTTTATAAAGGTGATTGAAGTCTACACCCACATATGTATATGTGTACATACATAAAATTAGATAAGCTAAAGCTTTTAAAAAGGGTAAAATTTATAGTGTTCTTGAAATGGAAGTGCCAGGCCCAAATAGCTTCACTTATAAATTCTATCAAACATTAGAAGAAGAAATATTACAAATTCTCAGTGTCTGACAGACAATAGAAATGAGTGAACACTTCCAACTTAATGAATTTGTTAAGAAAAAGAGGTGGGGCGGGTGCTAGGAATGCAGCTGAGCTGTAAAGTGATTACCTAACATGCAGGAGATATAAATGAAGTGTATATGGTGGCCCATACCTGTAATCCTAGCACTGGGGAGGTGGAGACAGGAAGAGCAGAAGTTCAAGGTTGTCCTCAACTTCATAGTAAGTTCAAGGCCAGCCTGAACTACTTGAGACATTGTCTCAAAGAAAAAGAAGGGGGGGGCGGTGGCTGTAGAGTGATAGGACACAAAGTCCCATTGTAAAGATCCAGTTGTGTTCTTTTGATGTTATGGTGCACATTTATAATCCCTAATGAGACTAAAGACAGAGATATGAGTTCAAGGCCCACCAGGGTTACATAACTACACCCTGTCTCAAAAAAGAATAGGGAAAGGCATAATGGAGAGTTTAAATGGGAGAAATGATGTGATATAGAGGCAAGGGATCTCTTGAGTTCAAGGCCAGCCTGTACTACAGAGTGAGTTCCAGGATAGCCAGGGCTACATAGAGAAACCTTGTGTTGGTGGTGGACAGTGGGGGGGTGGGGAGGGTACGCTGTAGAGATAGATGTAGCTGGGCATGGCGATGTAAGTCTTTTGGTTTCTCTGTGTAACAGCTCTGGCTGTCCTAGAACTTACTCTGTTCTACACAGAGAAGCCCTATCTTAAAAATAAATAAATAAATAAAGATTAAAAATAGATATATAAACCAGACATGATAAGGAAATAGAAACAGTAATAAACCCTGCATCTCCAGGGTTTGTAAGAAAATGTACAGAAAGCCTACTCTAGGATAATTAGTTACAGCAGCAAGGCCTCAGAGATGCGGAGTCACCTGTCAAGTCTGGACTTAGGGTGTGGGGAGGGTGTTCCTCCTATACTCCAGCCTCTTTCTTTAGTGCATCTTCTGAGCTAAGAGAAACAGAGGTGTGCACTCCTCCTTCACAGATGGGACATGCCTGGCCCAAGGCCACAGCTAAATTCAGCATTCCTCACACATTTGGGTGGGCAGCAACACGTGAGGGAGAAAATCACTCTAGTGGACATCTCTCGGTTCTGTAGTGGGAGGGAATGAGGGACACTATCCACATGGCTGGAGGGAACGAGGAGGACACTGTCCACATGGCTGTTTTTGCTACAGACATGGACATCCCGCTGCCTGATGAAGTTCTATGCTGTGGTAGCTTCCTCATCTGCTTCCTGTGAGAACCACAAGATGGCAGAGAGGATTGAACAGCGGATCCTGAACTCCAACCCTGTTATGGAAGCATTTGGTGAGCTTGGTGTCCTCTGCGCTGTACCCCAGTCCTATTTCCTCTGGGATTCACTCCCTTCCAGGAGAGAGGGAGTGCTTTAAGACCGCTCTCTGGGCTGGAGAATGACTGTCCTTCACTACCTAGGGACCAACCTTTTCCAGATTTCCTCAGCTTCCTTCCATTAAAGGTGCTATCATATGGGGATATAGCTCATTGGTAGAGCCACTGCCAGATAGAGCTGGTGCCATTTGGCTCATATAAAACAGTTGGACAGAGTGTCTTGGGTTCATCTAGTCCAATCTTTTTTTTTTTTTTAAGATTTTATTTATTATGTATACAGTTATCTGCATGTATGCTTGCACACCAGAAGAGGGCACCAGATCTCATTACAGATGGTTGTGAGCCACCATGTGGTTGCTGGGAATTGAACTCAGGACCTCTGGAAGAACAGTCAGCGCTCTTAACCACTGAGCCATTTCTCCAGCCCCATCTAGTCCAATCTTAATCCTCTGTTCAGTTTCCTAATGTTCCAAATAGGAAATTTGTCAAAGCTTTTCTTTTTTGGGGGGGGGTATTTAATTTTTGTTTTGTTTATTTGTTTTTGAGACAGAATCTTGATATGTAGCCCTGGCTGTCCTGGATCTCACTATGTAGACCAGGCTGGCCTGAGTTCAGTTCC